GGAACTATATTATCATTACATCTTAGATCATCCAGTGTTTCTTCGAGTTTAGCTTCTCCTGGTGACAGTGGAGTTGCTTTTGATAGTGACATGGAGCTTGCTAATGAAACAGATGCTAGTAGTTACAAGGAGGTATACTTTTGTAGTGAAGTCTATGCTCAAAAATATAAATCTTTATCTTTCTACACATACAACTCTGTACATACTTTTAGGAAGATTTTCATCTAGAAGAAACTCCAAGGTATCGGAATAATAGGTATAAAACAATGATAAACAACTGTAGAGAAGACAATAAAAATTTTAGCTCCAGTGATTCCAGCGAAGATGGAAAAACACCTACACAATCACCAGGAATGGTTACCAAATTTCAAACTACAATGATGACGAAAAGTGATATAGCGAATCAAAACTTAACAAGAAAACTCGATGATAATGAGCTTACCTGTTCCAGTTTGGATACTTTAAAAGATTACGATTTTTACAGTAAGAGTTTAGATGAGTCAAAATTAGATAAAATAAGTAATAAAAATGATAATGGAATTAAAGAATTGAATAAAAGAACTACGTATTACAGCGACGGTAGTTACAGTTTTAAAAGGAATATTGATCCTCGAAATTCATATGTGATCAACAATGATACAAATCTTCTAGAACTTAGTATGACTATTTCAGATTGTGAAAACATAGAAGCACCATATGGTATCTTGAATACTATTAATATGACTGATGCTAGTATTTTATCGTCCTCTAGCTCAGAAGCTATAGTACAACGTAGACAACGTAAAAAGAAACGTGGGGAAAGTAAAAAGCGCGTCAGTTTTCATGAAGATATTTTAAAAACTATGAAATTGGATGATGATGAAAATTACGCAGATTTTTCTATGAGCTTTTTAACGCCTAATTCAGTTCAGAAGAAAGATACGCAAAAAGGAAGATATAGCTGGTGCGCTCATGGGGATTCTCCGTATGTTCAAAAGAACGTTAATCCCAGAAATGCACATTCGGATTATTATTCTTACTCTTCATCATCGAGTGTATTTGATAGCGATTGTGAAAAGAAAGTATCGTTAAAGAGTTGTGAACAAATACCATGTCAGAACAATTGCAAGTGTGCTTGTGGATTGTCGCTTTCAGAGCGAGGTGCGCCTGAGGGCCAAGAAGATCCCGGTAAAGCATTCAGACCGAAGATGGAGATTGAATTAGAAGAAAATGAAGCACAAGAAGCGTACATCGTTGAAAAAGAATATGGAAATATCGTAGAAGATCCTCCAGCAAAAGTTCAAATGCCTTGTCCAACTAATTCGAAACAATATACTACTTCTAGCGATTGGTCGGATATAGATAGTACTACCACATCGGATGTAGAGGAACGTAGAAATAGCAGACATTTAGCTTCACCTTCAAAAAAACGTAACATGACATCAATACTAACAGGAGAAAATAGTAACAAATTATTAGCGCCGCCACCTATAAGGCAAGCTCCATCTAAAACATCATTATTGAGTAGATTTCTAAAATCTATTACAGAGAGGAAATTTGAAATTAAAAGAAATAAAAAGTCACAAAAAACGAATCCTTTATATATCAAAGGTGTTAAAACGAGTTATGATTCTTTTAAAGAATTTAATGATAATCTTGATCGAGAGATACAAGAAAATATGGCAGCAGAAAAACGAGAATTTAGTGGGGAAAAGATTAGCTTGAAATTACGAGAACTTTTTAAGAAACATATTTATAGAGATAAAACAGAAGAATTATATAAAGTATATAAAGTTAGGAGTTCGTATATGACAAATGGAGAAAGTAAACCGATGATTGCTTTATTAACAGATAAAACATTATATTTAACAGGTTCGAAACCGGATCATATTTATAGTAATCAGTTCGTTATTCCTTATAACGAATTAGATGTTATAATGGTAAGTTTTGCCCGGATAATATTATGCTTGTAAAATCTAGACAATAGGGAATAAATAATAAAGAAATATATTTTCTAGGTTGGACCAAATGCACAAACAATACTATTATCAAATGCGGATTACGAGATGCAGTATTTATTTTCTACGGGAAGTTCCCAAACTACTTCAGAGTTAATTGCGCATTTGGAGATGGCTATAAGGAGATCTCCAATGAAACCAAGACTTCCAGCAGTTAAAGTATTGACCTACGAAGATATGCATATTTTAAGGCACTCTGTCCTGTGTGATACTGCAGTCCATCCTGTATGTAAATTTAGTTGTATTGAAATAAGTAGTAAAGGATTATTAGCTTTCTGAGGTTCCTTTTCTTTTTTATGAATTAGTACAATTTGATATTTCAGGATGAAAAGATTGAACACTATAATCTTATTTATATGGAAGATGAACATATGTCACCACCTAGCACACCATGTGGTCCAACAAAAGAAGGTGATCTTATGTACAGACCACACACGTATCAACAAGTTCATCCTAATGCTCCAACTAATCCATGGGAAGCTGGATACTTTGTTCTCAAAGGTGGAGTTGTTTATATGTTTACGGATGCGAATCAACGATTACCGAAACGAGCTATTCCATTGAAAGGTGGTCTTTGTCAAGGATGTCGAAGAATTCCGAATTCTCATCGCCCTCATACATTCGAGATACTTTTAAAACCGAATAAAGCTTTTCAGTTTGCTGCTCCAGACGAATATGTCGCATCCGAATGGTTACAAAGCTTTGTTCAAAGTGCTTCTGGGTTATTCGATATTACAGAAAAAAGAGAGCCTTTGCCGTGTAGCCTTATTACAACTACTAAGCATTTAGTAGCTATGAAAGAAGTGTTTCCTGGTAAACAACGTGGGGAAACACTTTCTTGTGCTTCTGTAGAAGATCTCACAGCTTTCAGAGTACCTTTAACTCAACAATCTTGGTGTATACTGGTATGTAGTTGATATTATGGGCTTATACAGTTCCATAGTATATTATACAGTTCTTATTACATATTATTTTCAGGAGTTCGCATGTCGAGAAGTACATGAAAGTAGTGGTGACTGGGTTATATATTTCACAAATTACACTGAACTATCTACTTTTAAAGAGATTTTAGAAACATTGTGGGCTGATGCAAGTTTGGTATGCGTTCTTTTATTTTCAATTTTAATAATATATTATAAAAGTAAAAATTATACCTTCTACTTATCATTATGTAATTTAAAATAATTTGTATTTTGACAGGGTGAATTTCCTATGGTAACGCTTCCGCCAGAAGATAAACTTCATCGACGTTGCTCAGATGCCAGTAAAGAATTAGAGTTTGCATGGCGATATTTATTACCTTCAGTAATCGATTAAACGATAAGGTGTACCAGTAGACAATAGTTAACGCATCGTCATATTCAGTAATAGAAATTGGTGAAACATAAGTACTTGAACGAATCAACTCATATAATACAGATACTAAAGCATTCTGATAATATCGAATATGATGTTATAAAACAAATTATTCAAAATCAGTATCTCATGTTCTTCAACCAACGAGGAGTGGTGAATACAAAAAATCATACAAACATAAATTATAGATATTTAGTGATACGTAATATTGATGTGCTAATTCAATAAAATGGTGCAATATGTTTTCAATAGCGTAAACTACGATATTGATAATGGTACACAGGACTGTAATATAATGATGAGTGCGCAAAATTACTGTGTCAGTTACATGGATGTCTATATAATCACATTTATTATAAGAATTAATTTGCATTTGAAAGTGCACTATAGATACCAAAACAGATTTAAAAACATGTAATACTAATACAATGGCAGTAAGGCTTAGTGCAGCTTCTATAATGGAAGAATATTCTATAAATTGCTTTTAAAGTAAGCATATGACATATAATTAACATTCCTATTAATAATACTGATAATAATTGTTATTATAATATATAACACAGCTTTTTTTAAATTTTATTTTTGATATCTTCCCTTTATATATGTATGTATATGTTTTACTGCTTTAAAATTGTTGTTTTGGTTAGAATTCTGATTACTATGTTTTAGATTGTAAAGGTTTAAAAATTAATTATTGGATGTAATTTTCATGTTATTAGTGAGGTGCTTTATTTAGTAACTCCATATTTCTGGGAGATAAATATTGGGAAAAATTATAACGAAATATCTTTTTTTAAATACCAGTAATACAGTTTAAAATGGGAGAAACAGCTTCGTATACCAAAGAGGTTTCTTCTAATATTAAAATTAATATATTGGTTTTTAATTCTTTTTATAATGTGAACAACTTCTTTAGTTTACAATCATATATCTTTTCATTACCAAAAACTACGTGAACCGATGCAGGTTGTAAATCATTGTGAATAAAATTCTAATTCTATGTGCATTGTTTCATGTAGTCACATACAATTGTGATAAAATATTGAATTAAAGAGACTTATTAACGTACGCAATTGTAATATGAAATTTGCGTATGTTATATATGATACAAAATTGGAATATAATCAACACATGTTAGTTTCTAATGTGTCTAAAGGAAAAAGATGTTAAATTTTACATGCTTTGATCAAGCATGTTAAGCATTCTTAAATATTACAGCCATAGAATTTTTGCACAATGTCAACATCACCGTACATGATCTTCAAAGTTACAAACAAAAAATAAATAGAAATAAAATTGTAACTAGTCACCAAAGTAAAAGCAAAAACACGTCTTGTTCTTCTTTCTTGTACAATGTAATGAAAAATTTGAATTTTAATTATATATTGGATAAGTATAGTAATATCTCGTATCTTTTACTTTGTTTTTATTGCAATAAATTCTTCTACATAATAACTTGTTTGTCATTATCATTTCTCGAACTGAAGTCTAGATTATACATATAAAATAACATATAATGATACTTGTGAGCAATTAGATGTGAAAATTTTTACAAATATTCATAGTATTTAAGTATTGAAATACTTGTTGTAGAATTATACTTTGAATTTAATTTTGTCACATTTAATATCATTTTAATTGATATCATTTCATCAATATTGCAATCTATTTCAAAAGTTAAAAATATCACGTAGTGAGAAAATGCATTTAATCGCGTATAAAGTGTCCATCTGCATGTCTATGTTTCTTTGCCTTTTCTATATCTGCCAATGGATATTGTTCTTTCACAGCTTGCATATCAAGGTTGGGGAAAATTCGCATTAAAACAGCCACCTTATTTCTTTGACGACTAAAATAAAATTTTTTTATGTATATTATATTAAAAAAAGTCTCATAAGTTCAAAGGTTATTTTGTAATTATATAGAAAAAATACACACTTTATTAATTTACGTTTTTCATTCCATAATTTCTCTCTATAAAGTCGCAAAAATTTTTGCACTGCATATCCACCAAAATTAAATTTATATTTTTTGTGCCACGCAGAATTTTTATTTTTTGGTCTAGAATATTGACTCATTCGATAAAAGTAACGTAAACCTGTAAAACAGAATTTAAGTAGTCTGTTTACAGACAATTTCTATATATTTTATATATACTTTATATCATATAGAATAAATATATAAAAACATTTTACCAAGAGGATTATATTTTGTTACAACAGGTCGTTCTCCAGTTGTTCCAGTTTCAAGCATATAGTATGCTTTATTTCTTTCACGAACTACTGACTCTAAGTTAGCCATGCTATCTTCAACTTTATCAATTCTTTCAGGATTTGGAAAATATTCCCATTGTCGTTTATAGATTTCTTCCATTGTTAGAAGCATATTGCGTTCTTTTAATAATACAAACCTGGGCGTTTTAAATATAATTTTCATTATCATACAACATTGTTTTATTTTGTAACTTTTGTGTGTTACCATAATTTATGAAGGTCTTCATTGCTTTTTAATCTTAGTTCATCTTTTTTCCAAGAACGCCCAACACGTACTTTATCCTTTTCCCAATTTTTTGGGATATCAAAAAATTCCATCAAATCATTACATTTAGGTGTAGTATGAATGAAAGAATATTGAAAAGTGGGCGCCCTAAGGAATTTAAATCATCTATGTATAATTATAAACAATAAAATTGTACAATTTAAAGGATATTTGTATATTTAAATGCTAAATTAATAAGATTATCAGTAATAATTTTTATGTTACAGACAAAAATATAAACTCAAAGTAAGTACTAAATATTAAATATAATAATAATAATTATAAAATGTATTTTTGTTTGAAAAAGTATTTACAAGCAAGTATTTCTTATATTTGCAAAACTATTTACATTTATACATTATGTCCAATAGAAAAGAATTATTCAAGACATAACCTCTCTGTTTGTTCAATATAATTTACTGTAGAAAAATTACATGTAAAATAAATTATAAAGACCTTTGAATAAACATCGAAGTCGTAACTGAATTTACATTTTGTGATAAAACTAAATTTGTAAACAGTTTTGTCACATTATTTACACCTTTTGAAATCTGTATAACTTTCGTGAAGGCTGCCATCTTATTGATAAAATACTAAGTAACTATTATTACTAGAATACTACTTAGTTGTTACCAGAGAGGAATTAAGAGTGATCCTGCTTATGGATCTGGTTCTTTCCTGACTAGTGCTGCAGCACGCGACCAAGCGCTGAGATCTGCCTTGTTTGGTTCTAAATTTAGCATATACAAGAACCTATGTATTTAAACTTGAAGTTAGGAATCTGCCCTATTTGGTTACACACTAGTATAGACAAGAACTTATTAAGTTCCACGCTACAAGAATCTTTAATTGTATGATTTTAAGACTTTAGTTGACTTCAGCACTTGATCGCATGGTGCAGCACCTGTACTGTGAAGCAATTAGCACTACGAGCGCGAGTACTCTTGTTTCCTCCTTGTTTGAATTTAATATGTAAATGAAAAAAATAATACAACAAGTAATGAAAAATTTAAAAAGAAATGCTTATAGATGAAATTTTACATATACACGCACAAAATATTTCACAGTATTAATTCTCTGGTATTAATAAAAAGATATGTAAAATTAAAACATATTTATTGTAATAATTATAATATTTATTATCACAAACTATCAGTTAGATCATATACATACAATAATGTGAGAAAAATTAATCGTGATTTTCGTAAGCTAATTTTATAATATAGAGATATCATTTAAAAAAAATCACCTACTTTTTAAATTAACACACTTTCTAACACTTTCTTTGTTGTTAAAAAGTAGAAATTTGCATAAACGTTAATCTTCGACAAGAAGAAAATACTTAATAATATTCCATTGCCAATAAATGTATCAAAAAGTTGATTAAGGGCACCTTTCGATATTAATTATACTTACAATCATATAAAAATTATATTGTTTTAATATGCTACTATATACACTGATGATCTAATATTACCGATATATATGAATTTTTCATTGTTGCTTTTTTCCATGTATTATTACTAATCGTAAGTTAAGGTGCTCATGTGTTTAAAAATCTTTTCATATAAAATATATTTATATATTTTGTATATATATAAAAATATATATGTACACATCTGAACATACGATATGTACATATATATACGCGTATTTAAAATTTAAAGGGTGAAACTACAGTTTACGGATATTTAATTTATTCCATTCAGTATATTTTATATTCCTAGGAATTGAATATTCTGGAATGTACTAAGGAAAAACGAAGAAGACGAGCATAAAATGAAATTATACAATTTGTTGCGTCATAAAATTCTCTAAATATTGCTGAAAATTTGTTTAAAAATTTAATTCCCATATACCATCCGAACTGTAGTTTCTAGAGGCTAGATCGGAACTTGATCATTCAACTGATTTTTATTAAAATATTGCTCTTCACGTCGCAAAGATTATACATATATATATAAATATATATTTATAAATATATATATTTGTATTATAATATATAATTTATAAATATATAGATACATACTTATATTTATAAACAATTACTGAAGTTTATATAACGATAAAAAACGAATTCTCTCTTTTCTCTCTCTCTTAAACAATAACAAAGTATACGACATGATACTAAAATCACATAAACGCTCGATATCCAGGGGGAAGGATTTCTTGCCCGTCTTTCGATAATACGGTTACTTCGACTACGAAAATGTAACAAATGTTTCCGTGTAGTCATCATTCACAATAACAGTGTCCGTTTGTCTCTCACTGTTAATTATTTGTTCTAGAAACGTTTCATCTTTCGAATATTGTGATGGAGCGTGACTTTCTTCGAAAGAAAACATTAGAGAAATTATACGTTATAAAAGGTCGATTCAATATTTTCACGGGCAACAGTAAGTATAAACTTGTTTTTATGTGTTTTTATAACATTAACATTACTGTACAAAATTTAAAATCTCAATAAACTTTCGTTATTCCGCTCGCTGATACAGTGAAGGTCACTTTCAAAAGTTTCCTCTACACCTTTGTCACTAGTAGCTTAATTGCCATTTCTTCGGGAATTAGCGTCGTAAATTTAATAATAGATAATTTTGCAATACTTGTTTATAATAATTTGAAATACTTGTTCTTTTCCCTTTTCCAACACAATTATATTTGTTTCAGTATAAATACAGGGTGAGTCGGAAATCGTACTACAATCGGATATGGGGTGATTCTACATGAAAAAATCTGATACACGCGCATTATACATTTTAAAATTTATTTTTCTCGAAAAAGCAAAGCATCTCGTGAAAATATGTTATTCTACATTTTTTACTTATTTTTATATATAGTTTACATTCTTGTGGATTATTTACTACTGTTTTAATTAATTTATTATATGCCTAAGTTTCTCGTAAACAAAGTCTCGGATGAAAAAATGTTATATCAAATTGTTCTCTTATTTTTTCATGTAGAATTACCGCTTGCCTGGTTGTACTACGATTTCCGATCCCTTGTATATCGGTAATAATCGGACATGTTATTTTACGTTAATATCAACAAATAAGTATCATATATTGACATATGGCAATTAATAAAGCGACACGTGCGTAATTGCAGGCTAACGATTCTGTACATAAACTTGCAGACTTAATACGGTGTATATTTAATAGGAAGTTTGGTCCGATAGTTCTGTACTAATTGCTGATTGCGTTTCGATTACATATTTCTACATGTGAATCGTTGCTGCTGTATAACGTGCTTCTCCTCTTCGCCAACTCCATTGGCTTGGTCGATACTGTACAAAGAAGATCAAAAATATTTCTTTAAAACATTTCTCTCTTTTTTTTTTTACCATAACAAATATTATTAATCCTTACCCTAATTAACATTTGTCCGGACGTACTATGAGGATTGCGGTAAGCATACGCAGCCCACGCGGCTAAACCTACGACTAAACCAATTACAAGGAGAATTCCAATAATTCCTGAAACTCCCATGTTCATATTGTCCCGAGCTAAAGATATTAAAAGTAAAATATCATTATGATTGAACGAACGATCGCAAAAGTGTACGTTAATGGCAGAAATAAAGATCTTACAACGCTCTAGAGGACTCGATCCAGGTTTCTCTTGCTTCGCATTCATTTCACTAACGGTAACAGTCTCTCCCGAATGCATGCGTAAAATGTGATTATATTCGTCGAGGTGTTCCTTGCATGTCGTAGTTGGTAACGGGCAATTGTCAATTGCTTTTATCATTCGAACATCGCAACCTCTCAACAGCCAATCTTGTCGCGATCTAGATGTTCCGGTGCTGCATTGATTCAGTTCTGAACACCATTTGCAGTCGAAGCCTTTTAGTTTTGTCAAACAGTCTCTGCAATTATCCATTTCTAAACAGGTAGGCAGTGCATGTAGATAAATCACTGTCCAATTCTTAATGTCCTGCTGATTAAAGTTCACGCGATGATATTCGTAAATCGTTTTTCTGCGAACAACTGTGAGGAAAGAAGAAAAATAGTCGATTCGATCATTGCTTGTTACGATGAAATTTTCTCTCAGAATGACTTCAATACGAGATAACACCAAATACTTACAGAACACTATTCTGTCCATGATATAAGCATCGCTTAATCCAACTTTAACAGGATGCGCTGTATCTTTGATATGCTCTACCATCAGAGGGATCACCGAGTATACAAAGACGATGTCACCGTTTTGATGCAAAGTCACTTGAAACGTGAATGCCCCTGTCTCAGGTTTGTCTTGCAATACCACCTTCTCCCATACAACCGTGAACGCCGTTCCTGCAATTAACATTCCCATTTATTTACGACTATGTCTACTTGCAAACGTGTATTCTCTCTTCTAACGCTCATTACCAACCGTTATCGACATATTTCACATAACTATCATTAGATAGTCGCGTGTCGAAATTTGCCATTAATGGTGCGATATATTGTGTGGCGGCTAGCCAACTGTGAACGTACTCCCCGGTGTACAAAAATCCTCCGGTGGCGATGGTGATGTTACGAACTTTGTGACCGTAGAAAGGGAAATCGAATTTCAATTTCACCGTCTGTTGGAACAAACAAAAAGAAACTTTTTAATTACGTTCGAAAACGTTATACTAACTTTCTCGTGAGGAAAGTTAGGAAACCTGGAAATTCAACAAATTATAAAGCTTCACGCGCAACTAGAGTAGAGTTGTACGCAATCCACGAGGAAAAAGAAAATTCTGCATTTTCTTTAACGGGCGATTTTTACACTTTACTCTTCAAACATACTCTACATATTCTACTTGTCGCGCCTACTCCGCATACCAAACTTCATAATTTGTTAAATTTCCAAATTCCCTTTCCTCGTTGAAGTTAAAATGTTCTGTCTGTTACTTGGAAACTGAAGTTTTACGATTTTCTTTGCATACAGATGCTACAGAGATAGGACATTTTTAACTAAGGAAGGCAGTATAAATGAGAAAAATGGCAAACACTTTTGATACACATACCGCTGCTCGACGGTGACTTTGACTAAGTAAGTAATTGACCTTCAAATCTGGATGATTATTTATATCCACCCAGAATTTTTTCCCTACAGCTTCATCGATGATGAACGTGCTGTTGTAATATTGATGCGTGTCATACTCCATTTTCGTGATATTGTGCTGGGACAAAGTTTTGTTGGATAAGTCCGAAAACCTGCTGATAGATATGTCTCCGATACTGCCATCGGAATCATCTTTGTTGTCCGTTGATTCCGGCACAGACTCTGCGCCCTTCGTCGAATTTTTCTTAGCGTCGGTAGTTACATTGATAGAGTTAGCTTTACCTCCCGGAATTGCCGATGGAACCTGCTCAAAGGGAACAGAATTAATTTTTAGCTGTACACGAATGCTTCTTAATTCGAACGTATATAATATAAAAATAAAATATTATTCTATATGCCTCTACATATAGGCTGACCTCCTTTCGTTCGTGTAAGGAGGTTTGCCCGTGCGCAGGGGTATTTTGGCCGGCTTTTAATTGCCAATAACTAAGAAACAAAGCCGAAAACGCAACTGTTTTATTCTTGATGAATACAAGAATTTTACCGGTTCTTTGGTGGAAGAATTCTTTCCGTAGATCGATACTATCGGCGTTGAAGTCTCCGGTTTGTCCAATCTAAGGGTAGGCGTCACAAGTCCTTGTTCGCCTGACGAAACTGTTGTCGACGATGGAGATGACGTAGGAACCGTCGATTCTGTCGGATAATCCGTCAGATAGTCGTATCCATCGTTCGTTGGTACATTCGACGCATTCACAACCGTCTGCGGTTGTTGTTGCTGCGGTTGCGGCTGTGGCTGCGACTGCGATTGCTGCGACTGCTGCTGTTGCTGCGACTGTTGCTGTTGCAATTGTTGCCCCCGTGAGATTCGCTCGGTTGCAGGATCTGGCTTCTCATCCGCTTCTCGACGGTACCTTGTTAACAATTCTTCATCATCGACCGCATCTTCGTCGGACACGTAAGCCAATTCGACTGGTCCAAAATCGTGCAACGACTGTCCTCCCGAACGTCCCAATTCATAATGGTACCGACCTGGAAATATTCCAATGGGAACGAGGTGAGTTTCGATCAGCGAGAATCGATTTTTGTTGAACACTGTCGCGGAGACGAAAAAGAAAAAGGGAAAAGAAAACGGGCTCCGCCTACTTCCTGGTTAAGAAATAATTCCTGATTTAGAGATATTTCAACCAGCAGGGTAGAGGCAAGTCTCAGTTAATTCGATCGATCGCTGCAAAGTTAAGTTTGCAAAATGCAAACAGAAGCTATTTTTTATTGGCGGAGTCAACGTTCGATGTCGAATCGATCGAATTATCCAATCTAAAGTGCCCTATCCATTAGGCGTGATATTTTAACGTCATAACGAACAGCATTTAGGAAATTTTTAAGGCAAAGAAAGAAGACGTATCTGCAAAGTTTGAAAAGCAAAGGAAAGGTCAATCGATTCATTGAATCGAACTTCAAAACTACCGAATTTCAAAACTGCTTGTCCGTGAAAGAGCAGAAAACGATTGGACGCTTAACCATTTGATGGTGGATTTTACTTTTTGAAACCTCTCTCACGGAGTTAGCTCGTGGAGTGCGTAAATAAATACAAGCGACAACGAATATACTCATCAAACGCGGTTAACTGGTTAAAGTGAAACAGCGTCCATCGATATAATTGGAACGACGCGGGCCGTAAAAGAGCGAAGACCGAAATCAAATTAGTCGCAAGTTACGGCTTGTTACTATCGATGCACAGTTCGATTCACGGACAGGATACGCGAGAACAAGCAGTTGCCAGGGATTTTCATTGGGACGGTGACGCGACACAGCGTGTCTCGACGATTCGAATCAATTTATGGATTGCATACTTGGTTCGTCAGTGGGGTCGTCCGGTCATTTTGCACACCGGCCTACATTGAACGTTCAGATCGTGGCCCAGATCGGAATAAATTTCAAGCATCGATTCCAACGTTTCTCCATTAAATGACCCGCGCGTTGCTCTAGCTCGCTAAGCTATTCTCCACTTCGTTTCGCTCGTAACAGTCGCTCGAAGTTGTCCCGGCTGAGGACAACGTGGCTTCGTAACGGTTATCATCGGTGCTTATCACCGTGGATTTTCATAAGTTCGTAGAAAATTTCAGACGTGTGACGATGCACGGAATGGTATCAAACGAAACGGTCCATGACAGGTCGCGCGTATTTACGAAAAATCTATGGTTCCGTCGACGTAAGCGAGCAATTAGGATCTAGCTGAGACTTCGTTTCTATTCATTGGATATTACAATGAAACTTGACTTTGCATATATACTATGCTCATGGAACGTACATTCCACGGTACGTTCCATTACGTTGCACAAGCAACGCGGTTTTTCCACAGTTATATTCAAAGGAAAGATGGTATCGACCAAGAAGCGAAAGTTGCTCCAATTCCTGCAGCGCTAGTTTAAATCCTAGAAATTCCAAGATCTATCGCTTTGTGAACATAGCTGTAATTACAATCGCCGCGTTCGATTACGGAAACGAAGGTAGACTAATATTTTCACGTACGCGTAATTATCGCTCTTAAGCGGAGGGGAAAAAATGGAAGCAACGGAACGAGCGTCGAAGAACAGGATGTTAGCTGCTCGTGACAAACTATCGCCGGATAGAGCAATAAATTGACGATCCGACGTTATTAGTCGAGAATGCACGAAGCTTGACGTCAGTATAAATTTTCATGCTCTGAAAGCTAGCTCGACTAAACGTTCAACTGCCAATCGTTAGTCGTCTCCCTACGGACTCTAAAGAGACGCCAATTTATTCGAGTGTCGTTAGCCTTTATTCGTCCGCGTATTGTGCAGCACACTTTTCGACGAAAATACATTTGCCTGACGCATGGTCTCGCGATTCTCGTTTGGAACGAGGACGCCGACAGTCCTCGATCGAATCGCCCGGATTGATCCTAAGATACATATGCGCATATTTAGGAAAGTTCGACAACTCGAGGAAGCACGAGGAAGACCTTGAACCGGTCGATCGAACAGAAATTTCGAATTCAATTATCGTCGACTGAACGACGATTGCCTGGTCGTTGGATCTAGCATTTCGAGTTGCCAATTTCTCAGTGAACGAACGTCTCAACCGTGTAAACTAACGGTACGTGTAATGCGCGTTAAACGATAGATTGCGCGATATACGTTACACAAATTTTATTTACGTAGGATTCTACAAATATACAGCGCTAAATATACAGCTACGAAATGGCATAGAACTCGGATCTACGTATTACGTAGAGTGCAGACTCGAAGAGATCTTTGATTCTAAGATAGATACAAAAGTTCTAATCTCGCGAAGCTTAGATTCATTTACGATAGATTCACGCCCCATGGTACGTTAGAAACGAGGACATACGGAAAGACCTTGGAATACCAACGGTTAAGGAAGAGATCAGCAGATTCGCAAGAAGATACAGAGAAAGAATAGCAACGCACCCGAACCGGCTGGCAGCGGAAACGATCAACACAAGCATAGAAAGAAGACTAAAAGGGAAACACCAAGCAGATCTCATAAAGGATATATCCTAACAAACACGAAGATGGTACCCCATTGGGGGTAGCCACCCACGTGATAATCAAACAGCTAAAAAATTCTACCAAATGTCCAAATTGGGCAAATTGTGAATGTGAAATATTAAATAAAAGAAGAAAAACTTTACGATAGATTTAATTACGGGAATTTGCAAGATCGAAGAGAATCCCTTTTTTTTATTATTTATTTATTTATTTACATTTTATAATTCGTCCAGTAGGACATTTGGTAAAATATTATAGCTTAGTGATATAGCAATATAGCATGTGGATGGCTACCCCCAGTGGGATACCATCGAAGAGAATCTCGAGAGCCTGGAATGCTCGAATATCGCTCGAAGGCTTCTGGATTTTTTAAATATTTACGTAAATAAATCATTCGATTCGACCTTTGCCTGTGGTTCGAAGCATAACGTATTCACGCAAAGACATTTCGAAACACCTGGAACATTCTTCGAATCATCGGATATCTTTGATTACCATAGAATTGCTAATATATAATAATACGTCTTATTATCATAATAAATCTTCGTTATAGCGAATTATATAAATATTCGTACCGCACGACCGAGGATCCTGTGTTCCATTCGACTGTATTCGAACGTATGTGACGGGTTATTCCGTGGGTGTTGTGAGGTTCGAATTTGGTTTCTATACAAATTGTTAAAATTTATTTAAATTTCAAATTGGAACGCTCACTCGCGCTATTGGTAGTTTTAGTCTACGTTACGGCGCGTGCCGTATATATATATATATATGTAAATTCTATAGAATTCGAACTACTCGCCAACCGACATTTTCACTTTTCTTTTGTTCTACCGGCAGTCATTTGGCCATTCGGTCATTTGGCAATAGAATAAATCACGAGAGAAGAACGGTAATTCGGGACATAGAAAATCGATTTTCGATTTTCCAGAATCGATCGTCTGATTTATCCTAAGGATTTACGTTATCGTAAATCGAGGTTTTCTGCGCTATGCCGTTGAAGGTTGTCCTCCGTATCACCAGTAACGAAAACACAAAAGGTGAAAGAATAGGACGTGTAGAATGTATAAAAAAACCGGAAAATGAATTGGCTTATGTTTTCCACTGGAATATCAATCGAGAAATTATCAGCCTCGATTATTCGGTTCATCAATTGTTAAGAACGTCTCAAAAAGTCTAATCAAGGTAGGTCGATACAAACTTTGTATTGAAGAATACTTACTTGGAAGAATCTCCGAAAGGAAAATAAAGATTGAAAGTAAGTCACATGGGAAGACTTGGAAATTCTTCAAAAACGAGGTAATTATAAAAGAGGAGGGACGAACTTCGCTTTAAAGCAATTTGGTTGAACTGAAAAAGTCATAGATTGGATATTAGATTATGAAACAGAGTGTGAAAAATTCAAGATCCGAAATTCTGAGAGGAAAATCAAGTGCTTGAAGATGTGTTTGGAGAAAACAGCATGGTATCAAACAAATCTGTTGGGGAGCAAAGAATATAACTGGGAAGATTGGAGGACTTTATTTTTCAAAGTTTTCAGTAACAAAGGTTAGTCTTCATCACTATACGTCTATAATTTCAAATATATTTCAAGTTCGTTCGTTGATTATGCTATAAAAAAAGAACGCTTAATATTGGAAGTAGAGAGGAAGACTATTGAAAACACAAGAATTTATTTGATTGTTATCGGATTACTTATTCCCATTCAGGATAGAATCGATAAAGAAAAGATACATTCAGATGATTTGATCAGAATTTTGGGACAGTATGAAGATACTTATCACAAGAAAAGTTCAACAACGAAGTTCAGATGAAAGGAAAAGAAATGCAGGAGATGAAGGTACGTCTTGGCAGAAATTCGAATCCATCATTTAGGAAACAATCTTGCAGTATTTGCGAATCACTGAATTTTTCTGCAATTATGCGGGAACATAATCAAAATGCTCAGAAGAATTTCAAACAGATAAATTCTTATAATTCAATAAGACTGAATGAGAACGAAAATTCTAAAAGGTTCGAAAAACTATGAACCGCTGATAAAACTCCAAGTTAGAATCAATGATCGGAAAGATGAAGGTATTCATGACACTGGGCACTTTTATTTGATCAAAAAAGATTGTAACCGAACATAAGAGTGTTTCCAAACAATCAGTGGCAACGACTTCGCGAGTGACCGGGCGAAACTCCGAATGAAGATAAATAAAGTAGAAGAAATAATGGATGTTTTTGTGGTACGCAACGATAAGTTCACATACTATGCTACTATTATGTCGCAAAAAGGTTCAAATTAATAAAAAATAAGAATTTGAGAATTGCTCAAAAAGTTAAAAAAAAAAGGTTAAAACTTAAAAAGTTTAACAAAAAACAACATCAGGCTCACTGGATTCTCACCTAACCATTTGATACATGGGCAAGTTAAGTTAAAGATAGAGAAAAAGCGTTTCGAAATTGACAAACAGAAATATTTTTTTCTTGTATTTTATTTATTAAAATTACAATTAATTCTCGCGTTGAGAATTTTCAGTAATTTTTCTGGTGTGGCGCAGTGACATGGCTGATTATTTATAATAAGTTAGTACTTATTATAGATAAGTATAATTTATAAGTAAGTGTTATAAATAAGTGAATATTACTTAATTTAGATAACTAATTGAATCTAGCGTTTAGGTCTAGCTGGTAGTGCCTCTTCAGCCTGCGAATCTGGTCCGTCGTATCAAGTAGCCCAGTGATTAGGGGGGATACGAAAGTTGGCTAATTATTCGTAAGAGAAGAGTCACCATCGATGAACTTGATCTTGACATATGTCGCCAAGGCCACTCTGCAGTGAGAACGTTACGTTCCATACAATTACTTGTAGATGCGTCTTAACTTTACAGTCGCTTAACTTTGCGCGTTTGCTGCAAATCTAATTACAGTATAGTAAATTTCTTCTACATATCCAGTATCTAACAACATATTTGCGAGCGATTATACACTGTCTAGCGAATACGTTGGTACGAACGTCTCACGACATTAGTTATTTATTTATATTTAATTATTTCAAATATACTTGACGAGTTGCAACAGCAAGTTCTCAAAATCGAAAGATTTCTTTTTTATTTGGAAGAATTTTACAATCAATTCTCATTGATAATTATAAGTAAATTATTCTGGCGTGATAATAGATGATCATCGTCTGTTTGATTCTAAAGGTAGTTAAGTCGAAAAATGATTAGTTTGAAAGATATCTTAAATTTAATATTGCAAGACTCGTTGTATGGAAGACGAGGAAAAATAAGGCATCGTTTACAAGATTACAGTTTTTATGCTTTTTATTAGTTTTGAGAAGTCGCTAAACAGGATTTAATCGAAGATTCTGAAGGACAAAAGCAAATAAATATATGTCGAAGATGAAAAGAACACCGGAGCCTTTCGAATTCTGGATAATCCCGTAATATTGTAATCTAGAGTCTACTATAGCTGTAATTAAACAATTGTAGTTATTCAATCCGATTGTAATTGTTCGCGAGTTGTGATAACGAGCTTGGGCTCGAGGCGACAGTCAGTCGCCGAACGTAGCCGCGGTCACGGGATGAACGCTTTGTCTAACAAAGGTATGGAGTAATTCTATAGCTCTTCTTAAAAAAAATATTTCTGGCGGCACGCGACAGTAAACATTCCAACGGTTTCTGTCCCATGGCTCGCCACACGCAGACCCTACTCTTCGAGCAAGATGACTGCTAGATGTCGATGCGTCTCCGCAGTACATGTTCAGCTAGCCCGACCTGGACAGCTACCTGGACCAGATCATACACCGTGGGCCCGACGGACATCAGACGTCCGCTCCCTTTTACGGTGTACCCTCAATAACCTCAAGTCCCCGTTATAAATCCCATTAATTTGCTTGCTAAGAATATTGTTTACTACGGCTTGACAAAGGAAAGTTGGGTTTTCCCGCGTACGATGCTTCCTAATAACAACTTTCTATCGAGGGCAGCTAAGACCCTTCCTAGTCCACCAGCCTTCGTTTAACCAATTAACAACGAAGCCTATTTCCCTCACTCTCTTAGCCAAAATCGTCACGAACAAATCCGATGGTCCCGTGCACTAGACACACCCATCACTAGCTTTCTTCCGACACAGCATCGTCACTGTACATCACTGCTCCTACGACTTCAGGAGAGTCAAGTCAAACTTCTTCTACACCGTTGGAAGAGTCAACTACTTCTTCTATACCGCGAGGTAACTCACCAACTAAGTCAGAACTCTAACGCCTAAGGACGAACACTCACGTCCTCTAGTCCACTCACAAAGTTCAATTATAAGAGCCTTGCTTTAGCGTGTATATCTATCGTACCTTCGGGCGACAAGTTGAACAGTGTAACTTAAGTGTTGAAAATGAAACCTTATAATTCTGTGAATCACAGTGTTATATTAACTCAACTACCCCTATTATCTTAACGGAAATCAGGGGATCGATCAACTCGCGGTGTCGATTGCTATAATCGCAAACTCACCAACTAAGTCAGAACTCTAACGCCTAAGGACGAACACTCACGTCCTCTAGTCCACTCACAAAGTTCAATTATAAGAGCCTTGCTTTAGCGTGTATATCTATCGTACCTTCGGGCGACAAGTTGAACAGTGTAACTTAAGTGTTGAAAATGAAACCTTATAATTCTGTGAATCACAGTGTTATATTAACTCAACTACCCCTATTATCTTAACGGAAATCAGGGGATCGATCAACTCGTGGTGTCGATTGCTATAATCGCAACGGGAATTTACGACTCCCGTTGACGTCTCTCCTCGCGAGTGCGTCTCCCCGCGATTGGTCGAAAATATAATAACTATAATGTATTAATATATTGGTAGCGTTGTATACATTCTATATATTAATCCAGATGAAACATCACAGTGGTGTTTTCATCCAGAAAAAGTAACTGTCTTCGTGTTATGAAGGAAGTGCTTTAGGAATGACGTATCCTAAATTCAATCAATACGATCCTATGTCTATCGAGGATTGTCCGGGCGAGCAGTCCAGCAGCAATCTCGCGGTCGTTCCTTCTATTGGGGAATGGTGGACGTCGAGCAGAGTTCCTCGTTGTAATCGCATAATCAGCTTTACCAATTCGTCGTTCAATGCTTCCTTAGATTGATTGGGCGGCTGCACGCCTCGCAGGTTAATCTTCCTTACCCATGGTGCCACGTTTACAAACTTCGCTGGTAATATTCTAATCGAATTGAACTGGTGGTGCTGTATTAACCCCCAGTCGATCAACAGAACGACGAAACCCGTTTCGGTTCGTCTTAGGATCTGAGCCCTTTCGTAAAAACAATTATTATCCATTTTTACTGGCACGGCGGTAAGCATACCTACGGACAAATTTGCGATGTTTGGCTGGTCCGCCATAGGCCACGATTGCATTATCCATGTGAGTCTCCTGGTCATTCTCGGCCATTTTTCCAGCCGGACCCAGACGGTAGTAAGCGATTCCGTTTCTGACACGAAGATGCGAACTTTGTCCACGAAACGTTCTCTCGGTCGCGCTTGTCGTTGCATTCGCATCTTCTGGAGTTCTTTCTACTGAGCACACTGATTTCTTGCGTGTTCCGCTTGGTATGTCGAGTTATTTCACTGAGAAGTCCCTGTCACACACTCTGAAATCTTGTCACGAAGTTGGAATGTCAGCGTTTAACTATGGTGATTTTCTACTTGCTTCTTGTAGTAACTGGATGTTTCTGATTTTCCAGAATTCAGGCTCCCTTATATAGGGAGCAAGAATCTCTTCCACTGTGGTGGTTACCGCGGTGTTATTGTCGAGGACAATTAAAATAATAATTCCCAAGGACAAAGGGCAAAGGCAAATGACAAAGTCTATTCCTCTCTTTTCCTTTATTAGTATCGAGACTAATAATGACTAATTACATCTAATAAAGACATTTAATTAAATACCTGATAAATACCACATTTTAGGATTTGTATACAGAGTGCGTTATAACATCTGTACATCTTTTAAAAGAAACTTAAAAACTGACGAGAACCACTGGTTGTAAACCAATAGTGTGGTTGTAAACCACTGTAGCAAATTCGATTTATATTTTATGGATCTTTACGGTTACATATGCGTACCAATTAGGCGTTAATTTGATGACGAATCGTTCGAATCGTTGATTCAATTATTTGTTTACTTATTGATTCATATTGGTGTATATCGGTGTATCTGCTTTCTCTCAAGGGCAGCAGCATCCTTTTCCAATGACCAATACGAATTAGCCAACAAACATTAACGTACATTTCCCTCACTTTCCGAACCAAACCTTTTCTCAACGAATCCGATGCCCTCGCATCCTTAGACACATCCCAACACAGTTTTCCTTCGCAGCAGCATCGTGACAGAAAGTCAGTCTGTTACAGGGAGTCAACACACAACGGTCGTTACACTTACACGGTTCGAGTCGAATAATTACCTAAGCCCTCGACATCTCGTGCAATCATCGTCCGCACTCTAACTTGTAACCGCGCATTCGCGAACCGAATATAATCGCGAGTCCTGCGTCAAGTATACTCATCGACATTACAGTGAATAAACATCTATCGTTGGATACAACTGAGTTTTCCTTCCGAACCTATCACCACATATCACCTCAATATCAAAACATTATGAGCTGAGAATATGCTGTTCGTTGAAAATGATTAAAAATGTAGTATCGGGGAAAAGGGCCTAAGAAACATCGAGTTAACCATAGACAATGTCGCGAGAGCCGAGTCGCTGTCGGCTCCATCAATGTGTTATCGGTCCTTCAAATAAATAGTTTCGCCGAAAAGGCCTACGTGACCCTGGCTACGAGCGTCCGCGAAACACGTGTGCGGTGGACCTAGCAAAAGACAAAAGAGATGCTACAACGGCCAGAGAGTCAGTTGAAGCAGAGTGTGAGTTGAGCGGACACAGAGTGTGCATCGACGTGCGACGATATTATAGTCGATCCTCTTGTATTTGAATATCACTGCCGCTAAACTCTAAATCTACCATTATTACTTGTCCTTGCTCTAAGAATCCATACGTTACTACAAAAATATTATGAGATTTAATGTGTAAGAAAAAAAAATGTTTTATTTTAAGAACGAAATGATAGTTCGCAAACGGTGGCATCTAAAACGACGGCAATCGATGTTTTATAACGCGTGTTACTTATGATCTACGATTCTGTAATAATGACTGATAGTTTCGCAATTAACTCCTCTCGAATCGTCAGTTAGTCGGCTCGGATTTCTCTGATGTAGGTAGACTCCTTGATGCATTGGCCTTCACTCGTCCACGATTTTCGAGTCGTCGAAGAAACGCTCAACAGTGAGGAAGATAGGTCGCGCACGTGATTTCAGGGATAACCGCCGAAATCATCCCCCTGCGATATTCACCCATGCTATTAGGAAAACTATGCAGAAAACTTGAGAGAGAGAGAGAGAGAGAGAGATTGCTGAACAAGCTCGCGAATCGGCTATCTCGAAGTATCCCACCGCTACTACTAATTTTGTTACGTGGTAGAGGTGAGTGGAGCCTATTTCGAAAGAGAATGTGGCTGACGAGCCAGTTTTATCACCCGAGGCTGGGGAACTTGGTGTTTTGCGACCAAGACTGTACAGAGGGATTCCAAATGAAGTGACCTCGATACGATCAGAAGACTCCGTAAAGTCGTTAGATTTAGTGAAATCAAAGAAGGAAGGAGGAAATATAGAATAAAAATTTTTCGTTCGAGGCTTTGTTTTCGAGAAAATCGACTTTGAATTTTCGCTCGGCACGCGTGCACTTTATCGCTTCTCGTTATAACGGGTTTCACTTCTTTTTTCGCGTAGAATCACCCCCTTTCCGCTTGTACCACCAGTTACCGACCATCCTGTATATTATATTACACAGTCGAAAATATAGAATAAAAATTTTTTTTAATTTTTCCATCGAGACAACGATCTACAGTAAGATCCGTTATAACGAGACGTGATAAAGTAAACTAAGAACATAAACTAAACATAAAGTAAATTAATAACATATCGAAACCTATATAAGATACCTCATCGATCGACGATACTAATCAATTTTTATTTGTCGTTTTCACGAATATTTTGATCGTATCTAAAGATCATATTAATATGTTTTAATAAAAAGATAAAATGCTGTCCATGGTAAAAAGGAAAAAGAAGAAAGATATTTTTGAAACAAAAATATGTTCATGAAATATATCGAGAAACTAAGCGAATAGTTCGCAACGTGGTGGACGTTGTAGCTACGAGTCGCGTACCTGTTACATGTTAACCTTTGTTCTTCACGGAACGATAGGTATCGATCATGGGCAGGGGAGGTCGACGACACAAAATGAAATCGTTAACGTGCAGTGCGTTAAACAGAATTAGGCATAGGCGGTGCGATTTTTTTATTCCCGAATAATTACGAAAAAAAAAAAAAAAATTGATCGTCTATCGACTAACAGGTATATTTTCGGGCATAAAAGGGCTCGTTTTTTTTTCTCGAAGCGTTTAATCAACGAATATGTCAATCGTCCGATTTCTCCCCTCGTTAGTAGTTAATTACACCCGTATGATATTAAGTAATAATTAGACCGCAGATTTTTATGTAAATTCATATCTCTATGAATATAGTTAGAGAAAGGAATGGAACACGAAGGCTTGTTTGTTTCACTTACTACGTTTCACAACGAATACCTTACTTTGGATGTTTTATATATTTCTACATTTTTTCTTTTTTTTTAAATTTATTTATTTACATTTTACAATTTGTCCAGTAGGACATTTGGTAAAATATTATAGCTTAGTGGCATAATAATATAACATGTGAATGGCTACCCCCAGTGGGATACCATCTTCGAATTATATATTTCTACATGATGCATCACGTGCATTCTTGCATCCTCCAAGTTCCCGCAAATGCACAAACAATCGCAGTCTGATAATAATTATAGTCAAAATGCTGATTGCCATGTATTTTTTTTATGATGCGAAAGATATATTTAGCTATTATAGAAGACGGTGTTGACTCAAAAAAGGCTGCAGGATGTCCAGGAATATAGGTAGAAAGAATGGACAATACGCGTCGCATGTAGGAAGATATGTAAGAAGCAAATCAATGCCAAAGCAAAATTGCGTTGTAAGAACGCAAATTGTACGATACGAAAAACATGAGTTTTAAACGAAATCACTGCATGCTTATGTACTGGTGTGGCTCCGTGCTCCAGTACGCTTTGTATCGATAGAAGACTCGATTCTTCATCCAAATCGGAGCCAAACACTTTGTACAGTTTCGATTCTTATCGTTTCTACTGACTGTAGAAACTGTCTGTCTGTCTGTCTGTCTCTTGTAAGTTTACATCGTAAGCAGCTGTGTTGCAAGACATGTGGCGCCGATATTCCCGACGACCTCCCGGTATCTGGCAGGGAGAGAGAGAGATCACAGTGATGCAGCATCCGTTGAATAATTATTTTTTGATCTTGCCGCGAAAGTACATACCTCTCTATACCCTCGAACATGGCCCCTTCAGCATTTTACTTGTACTATTTGTATTTCATTTTTACAATGCACGTCATTTTATCTTCTTTCTTTTGTTAGAACTCTACCTCTTTTAGTCCATATCCTTATCTAGTAAATTTATTTGCATGATTTATTTACGTGCTTACGCAATCGGCATTAAATGGTTTGATTGTGAATGACTCACTGGTCAAATATTATATTTTTCGACAATTTACGGCGTTATTACGTCGAAGAGATTTCAAAGGTTTCAGAATGAAACCTTCATTTCTGTGATAGAATTCAATGAGAAGTTGCGCACGTGACACGCCCACGTATTCGACGATGTGAAATTTCTCTGCTTTGTTGCTGCTCTTCTATCGCTGTTATCTGCTATGACGCAATGCCTATCTTTTATTGTCGACCGGAAATTAACCGGCAATGTCAATGTTACTTGCACTATGTACCATCCACATTGAGATTTCCAATTTAAGTGCAGTGACGTTTAAAATTTACACATTCGTCAGCAAGGAAAGCGAGATCTCTTTACCTTCTTTCTCGTCGTTACTTTTCTTGTTACATTAGAAACGCGAAAGTATTGTAAAACGTGATTTCGTCGTCGAATCGATACACGTTCGAAATTGAGCATTTGCCTAAGGGAAAGCTGGTCCATCTGCACTTAGTTGCATATCGTTTGTTTCAAATTCGCTCGACTAACACGTCAAGCACCTTATCTGGTTTCAAAGATAAAATTCTGATATTATACAGCCTACTATACTACCGACTACGACTATACTTTTTACTAAAAAACGAAAAACTATGTTTACTTTATTTAGCGTTCTATAACAAATGTGAGTGCAGTTACAACGACGCCAATATCAAACAACAGACTTGTAGATATTTATATAGATACATTGCAGATACTTATAGAATGCAAAATTATATAAATGTTCGTAATCTCTAATATACCTTTCGAGCCGATTCTCTCGCAAACTAATCCTCGTACGATAACATCACATTACATATTCCTTCCTTGTTTTTTCACGAGCAATCACCTGATGCCCGTTTGTGTATGTTATTGAGCCGGACACTGTATAAATATCAAGTTATAAGACTGTCACGGGCAGAAAATGTGTGCAGTGTGTAAGAAAATAGAATAGAGGTAGAAGGTGAAAAAGTTAGCAGTCAAGGATGCGCATAATATGAGCATAAAGTATGTACTTTTGGTGTACAAGCAATTGTCAACGAATGGTAGAGGTATATTACCGTGCAATTTATCTGAAGACTTGGTATTATTCGTTAATTATCGTTTATCATCGTTAGATATCGCAACATCGTTTCACCTTATGGATAACAATTTGTTTCGTCTTTTAATTGCATATAAAATGTTAGAGCGAATTGCACTTGCGACTACACGCATTATATAAGCTTCAAACAACACTCGGTTACACGATGTTGAATTTACTCGTTTTACTTGTTTTACGAATATTCGGCGAAAGTTTAGTCCGTAAATCAATCTCTTTTAATTCAGACATCCTGAATTTCTGTTTTTGCGTGTGTTTTTTTCAGTAATACATTTTTCGCCTGCGATATTAATCGAATTTTCGTATTATTTTATTGTATTTTTCGTTTCATTTATTGCATCAAAGGGTCTAATTTATTTTGTATTTAAACGTTTTATCCAAACAGTAGAATAACGTTAAACATAAATAAACTCGTTAAAAATTACAAGACGTAAATCGAGCAACTTAATCCGATATCTGTCCAACTTTTCTCCGAGTTCCGCGTAGAATTTCCCCGATGAAATCGCAACTCATCGTGAAACCGCGTTTGTCTGTGCCAGGAGTATATTGGGCGTCACGTCGTTTTCCTTCTAGAAATTTCCGGCTTTCCTGGCGATTGTGCTCGCCTGCCCGGTTACCCCGGTCTCTCCACTGCAAAACGTTCCTGCTTGCCATCCGCTTACTTATCTCTCCAAACTTGTGTCTGTTCATTTACGAGGAGCTTATCGCGCCTACCTTCCACGCATTCTCACACTTGTGCACTCGGCGTGCTAGAAAATTTGCATACCACGATTCTTACTCTGATTCTTCGCCTCTTTGTTTCGTTCGTCGGAACGAGAACGAAACAGAGACACAAAAATTCGAAGCCAAGGTTACACGAAGAAGTGGATCGAAATGCTCGCAACAAAAATGATGCTTAGCCATCTTCGTCTATCCAGGGAAATGAAAAGATACTCTGCCATTTTCCTTTATAATTTCCATTTGATACGTTCCAATATCGATTCCTGTCTCCTTTTCGTTACGAGAATACCAATTACATATTTTCTTTAAGATTGAGGTATGTAAAAGGTTGAAAGAAGCAGGTCTGCGCGTAAAGCTACTAGGCAGGTATAGGTAATCGACCGACCATAGTTGGACCGGAATCCTGCTTCGTCCTTGAGGAACTCGGAACATGCTCGAAGGTGATTCGCGTGATCTTTCTCCAGAGACCGTACCGTCACAGTTTCAGATACCATGATATAATAGCCACAGCTAAATACGTAACTCTGCGTTGTATGGTAACAGCGGTATAGCGATAAAACTTTCGTCGTGTTCTATTATATCTTTCTTCGCACGCTGTCTGTCTAATACTATAGTTTTCCAAGCGTCTGGATAACAACGGTGTATTAAAACAAGGAAACTTCCAAGATGTTTAACGGTCTTGACATTTTTACTTCGTAACATGTTATTAGTAGTATATCGTCAGTATTTATGCAAATCCGTGTTTGTTATGAACGAAAGGCAGAAAATTCTTTTAATAGATTACCTGTATTCCTTGATACATTGCAAAGATAATTGCGCTTGCGAAAAGAAACATCAGACCTAACGATATAAGAATACAAGGATCAGGTAGCAATTGATTAATGT